ATATATATATATAATGTATGTATGTATATATCCTGAGCCAGAGAAAGTCCTGGGCTACAGATCCTCGTGCAAGTTCAGCCCACTTCAACTCAGTTCTAAATCAGGTTTCAGAGCCCATTTTTACTCTGTCTGTTCCCCCTGTCTCCTTACAGAAGTACAGCATCCCGTGAAGATTGCATACTCTCAATATGATAGATACCTGAAGTCAGACAATATGATCCGGACCACAGCCATATGCAAGGTGACTGATGAGGCCGAGGTGGTAGTGGAGCGGGATGTCATCCTGGACAACCCAACTCTGACCCTGGAGGTAAGGGAATGGGAAGGGGTGCCTCCCTCAGACAGCCTAATCCCAGGAACCCCTCTAGTCACCAGGAAGTGGGCAGAGAAGGTTGGGTTTTTCCCCAGAGATGTACTCAAGAGCCTTGTGGTTCAGGCTGTTCCTCATCTACTACATCTATGTACCGTACTTGCTTCTTCCTGTTCAGTCCCACTACTGGCTTCCCAAGTCCTCGCCATATAGGACCCAGCCCTGGTCCTACCCCTCTGGCTTCTAGGGTTTCTGGTATCGGGGAGGGGACCCAGGGTGCCTGTTCTGATCTGGAATCCCATTTCCCCCAAGCAGCTAGCCTGTGATGCACCTTTTCACTGTCCTGTTTGGTCCCCACTGTGCTTCAGGACAGGAAACTGCCAAGACAGCCATTGTGGGCAACTAGTTCAAACACTGGTCCATGTAAAAAAATGGACCTGGCTTGGTATCTAGGTTTCAGAATTTACCAGCATGGAAACTAAACAAGTCCCTTAACTCTATAATTCTGTCAGAGGGATAAGAAGCTACTTCCCTTGCAAAGTGTCATTTCCTCAGGGTAGCCTTTCCTGACCCCACAGATCAGGCCTGGTCACCAGTCACATACCCTCAAAACCTTCTGTTATCTTCCTTCAAGACACTTGTCCCAGCTGAAAGCATACTCTTGTGCACACCTTTGTACAATGATTTGGTCCCTTGTCAACACCAGTAGGCGTTCTGGGGTCATCATTGTCTCACTTGCACATGGTATCTTAGTACATAAATCTGATAAAATAGAAACAGTACCTTCTATGGATCACGACTGGAACAGAGCATGGTATAGCCTCTCTTGCTTCACAAGCATTTCCAAGAAGCTCGCCCTGTCCATCTCTGTTGATATAACAGGCAGCTGAGTGGTTGCTCCAACTCCTAAGACTAGGAAACAGTGCTGGGTGGTGGCCAGCTCAGTTATGAAAACATTTTGTCTTAAATGAGGTTAGTTTTTTCCCACATTTTATTCCCTAATCCTCAGACCTCCTTTGTTTGAAACTCATGAAGGTAATATAGATAAATGGTTGATAGATGATAGGTAGGTAGGTAGATAGATAGATAGATAGATAGATAGATAGATAGATGATAGATAGATTAGATAGATAGAAGATAGATGA